CACACACGCACGCACGCACCTTTTTCTTCAAATTAGCATTTCTCGTCTCGGCAACCTTTCCCCACGCCGACGCCGCCTCCAGCTCCCTCCTCGCTTGCTCTACCTCCATCCGGGTGAGGTTGAGTTGGACTTTCGCGGAAAGCAGCGGATTCCCGTTGTGCTGCTGTTGCTGCACCACCATCACGCTTGCCGCTTGTGGACAAAAAATCTCAACCATCTCGCGCTGTTGATCTTGAAGCATTTTTTTCTCCAACCGCAAGTTCCCAGCTGGGTCAGGACGTTCGCCACCGCCTCTCCATCAGCAGCCCTCTGCTGCTGCCTCTGATGCTCCGAGGCCTGCTCGCGTGCGATCGCTGCTTGCGCCCGTTGCTCCGCCTNNNTGTCGCTCCTCCTCTGCGGCCTGCTCCGCCGATTTGCGGACTCGAGCCTCTCTACGCTTCGCCAACTGAGCTTTTTTGAGTTTCTCGAGGGTAGCACCGGCCTTACGCTTCAGGGTAGGGTAGTCGGCCTTCTCGGCAGCCTTGCGTGCGCGCCCAGCCGTCGCTGCGTCCGCAAACGTGCATCCTTCTCTCTCGAGACGAGAAGTCGTGAAGTTTTTGAAGTTTTTTTTTTTGGACTTGACGCGACCCTTGTTTATACCACCGCCCGTACCCATAGGAGGTGATCTGGTAATCAATGCCACTCGTCGGCTTCCAGATCAATCGGGGATCGGTTTTTTTAGCTGTGTGCGCAGAAACCAGAGCTAGAGAAGTAGCGAAGGCGATTTTTGACTCTCGTCTCGGTAGTCGCGCCAGCTGCGTCAACAGCCGAAATTTCCGTCGTTTCGGGATTTTTCAACCACCAAACGGAAATCGGCTTCGCTACTTCTCTAGCTATAGCATAATTACAGGTGATTGTAGATTGAGAAGAGCCATCTCCTCACCGTCTTCGCGCATTTTTGATTGCCGGTTCCTTGTCTTTGCTCAAGTAAGTAGGACTGCTGTCTGTGTGCCCCCTTCAAACAAAAAAAAAACAAAAGCTATTCGCAGCCTGCCGTGTTGCTCCGCAGGGGGGTAACCCCAGGGTCTAACAGTGCTAGTCGGGGACGTGTTGAAAACAACTACAGAACACCAGTTTGTACTTGGCCAACTTATATACTGCAAAGCCGGCGGCGGAAGAAGGAGGAAAGTCCAAGTAGACATATATTTATCTCATTCTTGTGCAACAAAAAAAAAACGAGCGTGCATCAGCGCCGCACCGAGGAACACCAATACATGGTACATATAGTCTAGTCTAACTGTCCCGGCGGAGACCAAGAGCTACCCTAATGGCTTTCCCTACACATATCGCGAAGAGTTCCCTAAACCTCCCCCCGCGGCTTGGCTCTACGGCTCTGTTGAGTTTTATGAGTAAACGAATGAACGGTCTTTGAAAGAAGGTACTGCGTCTCGCGGTACTCGCCACCCCTTCCCTTCGCGTACAGATATGCATAGGATCGAACGTCCTCCAAGCGAGAGGTAACCTCGCCCTCGGTGAGGGCCCTCGGTGAGGGACGAGGTCATGCACGACTCTTTTTTTGGCGGCATCAGATGGACCGCCGGTAGATGGGAGGAATCTATCCATACCAACACCCAGTTACAGCTGCAGCATCAGACCGCGCGCTGCTTCTGTTGTGTGTCGCTACTTCTGCTCTCACTGTAGTGCGTGGTGCGTGGTGCGTGAAACGAGCGGCCCCCAGGACACAAAAAGGGGGGTACGCGGCAGCAGAATAGGGGTACCTCCTTATCACATATTCTGTCGGCCCCCCTGGTGCTCGGCAAAAATAGTTTCCGTAAAGCAGGGTCGACTTAGGCCCTGACCTGTTATGCATGCTTGTGTTTGTGCATAACTGGGCTTTTCGTGCATAAGCAAAAGCATAAGTTGGAGGGCGCATATATACATTTTTTTATGCATAAAAGTGTGCATAACAGGGGTTGTCGTGCATAGCGGTGATTATGCACGAGTGAGGTGGGGGTAAGGGGTGGCTCAGACGCTCAGACGGCTCATTGTAACCAAAACAGAGCTTTTTTATCCCCTTCAAAGCCTCTTGGTCTTTTAACTCTTTCGTTTCAAGTTCACAGATCAGACAACAAATTGTACATCTGGAGATTGGAGATTCGGTGTTAATTAAAAACATTCGTTGTTTAAACCAACCTTGATGAATGTTGATTCAAACTACTTGACTTTTGGACAAGAAGAGAGGAGAGAAACGACGCAACGACCGAAGACCGAAGACCAAGACCACAGGAACACAGGACACACCACACATCACTGATTCAGCCATCCTCTGCCTTCATGGAGCGAGCATTTTCTATTCTGCGTGCGTGCGTGTGTGGACCAGAGAGGCAGGAGTCGAGCTTCGGCGATCGCATTGCCGCAGCTGCCCTTCTCAATCAAGTACTATGGTACAATAGAGGGCGCGGAGAGTAGTAGTACGGGAGTACGCGAGTACGCTGTTTTTTTGCCCGTGGTGTGTGTTTGTGGTGTCTTGGATATGAGTCCGATATATCGCATTCGAGGGGCTTTCTTATTTGTAGCTGTTATTTTTCTGTTTCGTTTGGTACTACTGCATTTATTTTCAGGTGAATTCTACGGAAGTCACAACAAGTAGTGTCTGTGCGTATTTTTGTTCCTGTTGGAATTGAATGTGTGGCATGGCTTTGGCTTGAATTTTTTTCTTGACGTTTGTGGTGCGGTTTGTTGCAGAAAACAGGGAACAACCCTGCTATTTGGTTCATTCAGTGGCCATTACGTGGTATGCCAGCGGTGTTCCATTTTACAGCAAATAAAGCCTCTCTAGTAAGTAGCCCGCACTCTACTTTTTCGTTGCATCGACAATTAATTATGGGGGGGGGATGGAATGTGTCCATGATTCTAGAGGCACTGACAGCAATTGATTTGGTGTTCTGATGGGTTTGACACTGCTACAGCAGGGAGGGGCTGTTGGAGGCGCATTTGTTTTGCTTGAAGTATTTTACCGCGATTGATTCCAGGAATAAACATATCTATTCTGTCTCCCGAATGGCGATCACGGATGACCAATGGTGGAGGGAATGCGGGAAGAAAGTAGTCCCCTCTTCACCCTTATTAGAACGAACGAGTGCAGAGTAGTAGTAGTCGGATGCGTCGAACATTTCCTGAAAGACTACAGAGTCCAACATAATTGCGCTGTGTGATACAGCAACACAATTGATTTTTCATATACATTCATTTCGACGGTGGGAGACGGCATAATAGACAAAGCGTGTCGACGAAGCCAACCGCGCGCGCATATGTCGAGCATTAACGACCAAAACAAGCATTGCCCAAGCACGAGGGACAAAGAAAAGCGTGCAGAAGTACAAGCACACGCGAGGAAAATGAGCATAACCAGCGTGCATAATAAGTCGCCTTTTGAGCTTACGCACGTGCCGAAAAACGTGCATAAAAATGTCAAGAAATAAGCATAACAGGTCAGGGCCTAGGTCGACTGAACATACCTCCCGATTACAATGCACCGCTATTGAAACATAAGAGAACACATCGCCAGCAGCAAATTGGTGCCTCGGCCTACCTCGAGAAGCTAAGGATTCCACACTCACGTGTTCTACTGCATCCAGTACGGCGGGAGAGTGCGCCCCTTCGGAGCTCAGCGCATCCCAAGCCCGTGCCGTAGCCTGGCTGAAGTCCCCAGTCCACGTATTCACAACGAGTGGCAACTTTGAATCATCCGGTGCCAACACTCCTGATACCCCCCCAACTCCCAACATAGCAACGGAATCGGCTAGCAGCACAACCACCAGTAGAGGCTCCCATGAAAACGCCATATCCGAGATTCAGCGCGGAGGCAGCGGGCGAAGGAAGCTGAGTTTTCTCCTGCGAGTGTTGTGCCGAGCGCGGAGGCGACATTGGGGCATGACCTATTAAAAAAAAGGATTGTTGATTTATATACGCCACAGGGAGGCGACGCTGGGGTGTTCCAAGTTTTTCGACGCGTGTGCGAAACCGCGATGTACCCGCACGTGATGTGCACAGTTCAAGTTCCTAACTCTCTGTTCTCCTACAGCCCAGTGCGTAAACACGCGGCCCGTTTGCTTTCAGTGTTTTCAGCGGCCAGCCGAGAAACACGGCGGCAGTGGATGCTAACAAAAAAGAACATACGAAACGAAACACTCCCGCCGACTGTTGCCGTCGTATTCGACATTGTAGGAACGACGCCGGCAGGAGAGAGGTGTAGGCAGGCGAGTTCTGTCACGAATCCGCTCGCCGTGTTTTCTGTACCTCCAGAGGCGGTCGGCCGTTAATCACTTCGGTCTCTCTCTCTCTCTCTCTCTCTCTCTCTCTCTGTTCTTCCTCGGCAATGAAAACACGGCGTATTTGATGCGCGGGACTTCGACCTCTTCCATTATCGCGCTTCTTCGGCAGCAACTTGGTTGCCCCCAACGCGATGTCGGCGACAGTCGAACCGGCGAATCAATCACGGCCACGAAGATGGCTGGCCTTTTTGGATTGTGCGGCAGTGGACGAAGCGACGGGGGCGTCTACAAATACAACGGCCCACGTGCCACGAGTCAATGAGGTCAACAGAGAGGTACGTTTGACTCACGTGGTATGGCCAAGTTTCTCAGTCCACAGCGAGATTCACATCATCGAATTTCAGTCCATCGCTCTCAACAGGATATTATGGCTTTTAGGAACCGAAAATGCAGGTACTGACGCGAAACAAACGTTTTCTGCCGGTGCGCCGTACTGCTCCACCCGGGTCTTGTGTATTGTGGGGCAATCAGTGTTCTTACGTTTTTTCGTCCATGTTATTTTTTCATACGAGATCCGCTGGTCCTCCTTTCGTTCCAACCGCAACCCGCGATGCGTTCGTGGCCAACGCAACTCAGATAGAGGACTCCCTCGGATTGGGGTGATGTAATACTTGTTGGGTAGGTATGCTTCTGCCTCCGCCTTTCATTAGCTTTCTGGTCCTCACGAAGACACGCCTCCCGTTCGATTGGACGACCCCAACGCAGATCGCCAACGCATTCCGTCGTTCTTCTAACTGTCGCCCAAGCTCGGCAAGTGGAGCAGAAGACCACCGTCGAGCGCCAAGCGTTCTGATGCAACGACCGAACACAGCGTAAGTGTCGGTAGAACGTAGGTTTTCATTGAGGCTGGGTGCAGACTGAACAAGCAAAGATATGACCTGTACTACAAATCGTCAACGACTCTGATCCCATATAGCGTACGTACCGCGGCGATACCTGACCCGTGTTATCGCCAACTGAAACAAACCTTGTTGCGACCGGCTGTCAACCCAAGAAGACACGGAAAACCTCGTGCCCTTTATCTGCCTCTCTGTCCAAATCAACCGGCAGACCAAGAGACTCGCGGGCTCCTTCATCAGGGGGGCGGTTGGGACGGCTGCCGCGCCTCGGCCCGCCCGGCTGCCCTCAATGCGGATTGGGCCGGCCTCTGCCGAGAGGCCTTGTCCTGCGGGGAGGAAGTACGGGCCCTCCTTTTCGACCTCCAACAAGACCCGACGGCGTCAAGTTAATCCCGGGTAGAACGATGCCGCCAAGACCTGGGATGCCGAGAAGGGGAGGGCGAGGAGGCCTTATGCCACCACGCCCCGGTACGGCAATGGGCAGAGGACCTAGAGGGCCCAGTGGGCCCAGAGGGCCTATGCCACCTACGGGGCCTATGCCACCGAGAGGCGGTATGGGTAGAGAGCCGCGGGGACCCATGCGTGGAGGTGGAAGGGGGCGCGGTAGGCCCGGTGGGAGGATGATGGTTGGCCCGAGAGGGGCACGTATGGGTAGGGGTCGAGGAAGGCCCCCTCCACGACCAGGGATGGGTCTGAGTCAAATTCCAGGCCGAGGGGCGGGTCTCCAGGCACCGTCTCCGGAGGTGGCGACAGCCGGGGCCCCGCCTTCTTGGATGAGCTCGCCTCTCAAGTCAAATGGCGACGATGACGACGATACCTTTGCGCAACCTGTTCCTGTGTCGAAATCGGCCACCGTTGCGAAAGACGAAGGTGTTCCCTCCACGGGGGGTTCAGAGCCAGTCGCGTCCACGAGCATGCCTCCGTGGGCAAAACCGTACAAGCCTAAAACTCAAGAGCCTTCACCCGATTCTAGTCGCGTTAAGAGTACACCGTCGCTTGGATCAGGGATGCCGAAGTGGGGCCAGAAGACCATCCCGCCAGCACCTAAACAAGCCGAATCAGGGTGAGAACACCCTCCCAGCAAGAAGATATATTATGGGGGCTAAAAAATCACTCATCACCATAAAATTGGCCCCTGACCTTGGAAGATACGTGCGGGAGTTGGTTCAATCCTTGTTTCGTGGTTGCTCTCTAACGTTCCGAACAGTATACTTCACACACGCACCCGTCCGCCTCGTTCTACTTCCTCGGATGTCCATTCCAGAAGCCCTGCGGCCACAACAAAGACAAATAAAACATCGGCCGAAAGCGATGCGAAAGATGAACCAGCTGGTGGCCTCGATTGGCTCCAAAGCCTCGCTCCCCCGACCGCAACAACAGGAGCCGCTCCGAGCCCATCGCACGAACAGCCAAGAAGACCTTCTGGCGACACTTCTGGAGAAGAAAAAGAGAAAGATATTGACTGGCTAGGAGCTGCTTTGAAGGGCGATCCCTCAGTGGCTAAATCGGCGGTTGAAACATTCAGCGGACAAAAGGAAGGCCAACAGGACGACGATGCTGGGGGTGACGATTGGCTGGCAATCGCCAAATCAAGCGGTCAGGCCAAGCAGAAACCGCTCCATAACCCCACGGCTAGACGTTCGGTAGCCGTCCCTGCACCCGGGGGATGGATGTCATCCGGACAACTTGGCCTTTCAACGGAGGATGGCAGCGATGAAGACGTTGCCGCTAAGGCTAGCGGAGGAGGGGGTAGTGGTAGCAGCGGTGGCAACCCCATTCTAACCAAGAAGAAAAAGAAACAGAAGCAGTTGTCGGTTAGCGCGAGTGGGCCTGGCGGATGGTTGAGCTCTGGTGCTCTCGGTGTTACTGTTGAAGATGAGAGCGACGACGACGATGACGACGACGTCGGCGGCCCTGGTGGTGGTGACGCTGGTGAAAGCGGCCGAGGCGTTGCCGTGACGATTGAAACTCAGACCGAAGAAGACATCGAATCAATCACGAAGAGGGGAGCCACAGAGACTGCCAACGTCCCGAAGCTTCCACCCTGGGCCAAGCCGTATGTCCCACCCCCGAAACCCGACATCGAGCCAGCCGTAGCTCCTGGAAAAGCATCTACCTCTGGAGAAGAGGTCGAGAAGGAGGTGATCTAGACTTTACGGCTTAATCGTTGAGAAAATTCTCCCACGAAACCATGAGTTTGCAAGCTGAACCTGCCCGTAGCGCTTACAGCTCGAATACTTGCCACAGAACTTACAGCAGCTTCAAATTCCGCCGATTGTGCCACCTCGTCTTGGGTGAAGGGTATTGAGCAGACACGATGAAGTCTACCTGTGCGAACACCCTAATTCTATCCGGCAGGGACCAACCACCAACTACCCAGGGCATCTTTCGAGCCATTCCTTTTGGCGTCGACGTATCCCCGCTGTAGCTCTGACACTGACACGAATCTCTCTGTATCTCATTCCCGATGACATTGGCTATCGCGCTATCGTAACGTGTGTCAGGGGTCAGAGATGCCGGATTGGCTGGCTGCAGCCGCTGGTATTCATTCCGGGCAGGTGAGAGGGAGTATCTTGTCTTGTCGCAGCAATAGAAATATTTGGTAAATCGGGCGCCGAGAACACATTTCCTTGTGACATTCCGACACCTTAAACAGGTTGTCTTTGTTAGAAGCGCCGTTCAGCACCCACAAGGTCACTGTTCCTTCAACCTAGACCTAAGGCCGCTCACCTTGTCATTGGCCAGCGGCCGCGTGGGACAAACCTATCTTCTTGTGGCGCAAAGAACTCCTCACACGTTACGACATGTCCCTTATCATGTCCGTACCTGTCCTTCAGGAGACCCTTAAAGTTCTGAGCGAGGAGCCTGGACAAGTGGCTGCCGGACCAGGAGATGAAGACGGCGGCGATGGGTTGAGTTGGCTTACGCAAGCCGCTGGAAGCTCAGTGTCCGGTACGGCCTCTCCGGCCGCTCCGTCGTCTGCCCCCGTTGATTCAGGAAAAGATGGTTTGGAGACGGGTGGTGGTCTCGATGACTGGCTGAACGTTGCCAAACACAGTGGCCAGACAAAGCGCAAGTCGGTCGTGACGGTCGCCGCTCCTGCTGCAACCGGTGGGTGGATGACTTCGGGAAAGCTTGGTATATCAACACAAGACGACAGTGACCAAGACGATGCCGGCAAGACTGGTGGCAGCGTGTCTGCTGTCACCAAGCCCAAGAAGAAGAAGAAGAAGGCTGCTCAGTCACCAGCGGACACCAGCGGTCCTGGAGGGTGGATGGGCTCCGGTGCTCTTTGGGCACCGGCAGAGGACGAAAGTGGCGATGAGGATAGCGGCAGTAGTGAAACTGATCGAGGTGTTGGCGTGACGATAGAGACCCAGACCGAGGAGGACATCGAAGCAGTTGCAAAAAGCGGAGCCACCGAGAAGGGGAATGCCCCTAAACTTCCACCGTGGGCCAAGCCGTATGTCCCACCTCCGAAACCCGAAGTCGTGCCAGACATCCCGCCTGAAGCGAATTCTGCTCCTCAAGGAGCGCCCGAAAAGCAGGTACTTGCTACAGAGGGTCATTGAAAAGGCCGAATCACAATATACCCCTGGGAGGTGTATGATCCAAACCCTGAAGCTTTTTGACCTACCGTGCTCGACGTGCTCGGATGTCTTACAGCAATTCTGCACACATTCATTGACTAGCTCCCAGCACACTGACGATAACCGGGTAGATCCACGCTAGGAGAAACCGTCCGGGTCAACCAGGACAATCGCCAACGCTGTCATGGCACATAGACGTAAAACACCTATCCGGCATGTCCTGGAAACCGTTCCGTGTGCTCGATTGTTCCTCTGTTTAGGGGTCCGAGATGCCGGATTGGCTGGCCGCTGTCGCCGGTACATCTTCCCGGGAGGTAGGAGATAAGCAGCAGGGTACTCGTAACAGTATAGACGTTTTCCTATTTTTCCGGTAGCTGCTATGGTTCGGGCGAATTTGTGGGGTACCTCTTTCTTGCAGTTGCTTGTTTCAAGCCCCCAAGTGTGGTATTACTTATGTGCCCGGTTGGAGATCGACCATAGCCTGTCTAGATCATCCCGTGACTCACGCCTGACCGCGCGAAGACTCTTTTTAATCGAGGCTATGCCCGTATTTCAGGAACCCTTCGGAGCTATGATTGAAGAGGCACAACCAACAGCCGGACAAGAAGACAGTGCCGGTGGCGGTGGATTGAGCTGGCTCACGCAAGCCGCCGGAAGCTCAACGTCCGGTGCGGCCGCACCGATCGACAAGCCATCTGCCGCAGTTGTGGACGGCGCGGTGGGTGGCGTTAACGACTGGTTGGCGGTTGCCAAGTCCAGCGGTCAGACAAAGCGAAAGCCCCACGCGACGGCAACCGCTGCTGCCAAGGCCGCAGCCGTTCCCGCGGCACCCGGTGGATGGCTGTCGTCGGGAAAACTCGGGGTATCGACGGAAGAAGAAAATGACCAAGACGACGCTGGCAAGACAGCCGGTAGATCCACCACGCCTAAGAAGAAGAAGAAGCAGGCTATAGGGGCTGTACCTGTCGCAAGTAGTCCTGAAGGGTGGCTGAGCTCGGTTGCTCTTGGTGTTCCAGAGGAAGAGAGCGACGACGACGACAACGGCGGCGGCGACGGTCAGCCTATCCTTGTGACGATGGAAACCCAGACCGAGGATGACATCGAAGGAGTTACCGAGAGAGGGAACGTTCCGAAGCTTCCGCCCTGGGCCAAGCCGTATGTTCCACCACCGAAAGACGATGTCGTGCCAGAATCCACTGCTGACTCAACCGCTGAAAAAACTCCGGAGAAAGAGGTGATCTATCCACGAAGCTTGGGTCACGATTGAATCATGCATGTTGTTTTCTTGGGGGGATGCCATGGTGACGGTGGTCATTCATCTCATACCATACTCTTATCTCCACGTACTACTTCATTGCATCGGGGGTCACCTGCTCATGTGTAGTCCCAGCTCTTGTATCTACTTCTGCGGCCAAATCTACCTGTGGATCAGCTCTCCCAACAACTACGATTCCAACTCTTCACAGGTAGTACTGCCACGCGACCCGTAGAGCTTCAAACCAAGGCAATTATCAAGTAGGAGCACCTAGCAGAAAACTACCTGTACGTATTGCAGACTTTAGTCAGCAATATTCTCGATACCAAAACCTCTCACAAATTGGTCGCTGTCTCGCCATTCGTGCACCTTATAATGTCCTACCTGGCTTCAACGCCTGCAGGAGACCGACGCCTCGGCTGCTCCAGACTGGATCCTCGCGGCTTTGGGTGATCAAGATGCGGACGGGTTTCGCGGTGGGGTCCCTGCATCCGGAGGTGGTTCGAAGAACTGGCTTTCCCATGCTGCAGAGCAAGAACCTGGAGCTGGTGCCTCAGGTACCGCACGAAAAGTCAAACTAGAACATGCGAGTACACTGCATATAAGGGGTGATATGAAAGCGCTATTCGGATGTTTTTGAAGGGCCAAGAAACTGCTATTCAACGCGGTGCATGACGTTTCTGATGGGTTGATCGTTCTACGACGGATGAGAGAGAAAGGTGTACTCACGACGACATCGAAACACGAAACATTCTCCTAAAACACTAGTGAACTATTACCGCGGACACATGAAGACCCAACAAAAAATTCGGTGCTCCATCGTTTCCGCTCCCTTGCAACAGACATGCCCAACACTGGAGATACCAACGCTCCAGACTGGCTGCAACAAGCCGCCGCCCCTAGCGCAAAGCCGAAAGATCGTCAGGCGGCATCAATTCCTCAGCAGCGATCCGGCATCGCAAGAAAGGCCGCCGTCCCGGCGTCGCCCCTCTCGTGGATGAAACAAGTGAAGCGCCGGTCATCCATGGACCTCGACGACCCAACCGTTGAAACGACTGTCGCTCAAGCCAAGGCCAAGGCTGCTCCTGGGGGTTGGCTGCAGATAGGGGCGCTGGGGGCACCCGATGCCTTAGCGGAAGAAAACGAACTCGAGCAAGCCCGGGCCGCTTCACCCCGCACCAGGTGAACAGGGCGGCCCGGGGGGAGCGGGGGGGAGGGGGTGTACTGATAGTCGTGCATGCCGTAGTCGTTAGACCATTGACCTCGCATCCCTACAAAGCCGGGACGGAGCACGCCGGGTTCTCACCGGACCAGGCTCTCACATCACCAAGCGCGAAGCGCCGTGAGATATTCGGCGAGTCGCATGAAGGGTGCGCTGCATCCTGCTAAGGGTTTTCGGCATCTTGTGCTTACTTCCTTGCGTACGGATGACAGCTGCGTATGACTTAATTTATTTTCTGGTGCTTTCACTTCCTGAGACAGTTGTAAGCACTGTGTAACTGCCTCGAGGGTGCTTGACCATTTTAACACAACGTGGTGCGATCATCCCCCTTGCGCGGAGTGAGGGGTCTCGACCCCGCACAACATGATCTACTCGACCACCATTATGGTTACAGCTAAAAAAAAACAAACAGCGGCAAAAAAAAAAAAACGGTAACCTGGTCGCCGAGTTCGCGAAGTGAATTGGCTTGTTTTACAACGTCGTTGCCAAGCGACGAAAACCCAATCCCGATAGCAAACACCGGGGGGGGGCGGTGGGGTGGGGGAATATTTCGTAGGTGGAGTGTGTGGGGGGGTGGGTGTGAAGTAGTCTAGACAAGTAGGGATTTTCACGGTCAATTTTTGGTGCAGGGCTCGCTGGCTACTGCAATGACTAGGGTTGTAAGGGTGCCAATGGTGCACTGTTAGCTTGGTGTAGGAGGTGGGTATGTTAGACTAGATGAGCGAAAGGAGTGGGGATTTTGACGTCGCACGACCCTATTGTTGTCGGCAAAACAAATGGGTACATGAAGGCACACACCGCTAAAACCACGGCTGTGGCATGACACACGAACGACCAAATGGCACACGAATGACGATCAACGACAAAGTTACATCATCACCCAACAATGTGCCTGTCCGTGTTGAGGTACAACCAAATACAAAATGAAAAGATAATTGGTGGTTTCATTGTGGAATGTAATTCTCCTAAAATGCTGAGCAACATTTTCAGTTAACGAAACACAGACCCAAGAACAGCTTTCAAATGCAAATAGCCAGATTAACCTCTGGGCTACCGTAAATGGCGGAGTGATGCCAGCCCCCTCACACCGACTGTCAAAGCTCGATTGCTCCACAATCAAGTCAGTGAAAAAGGACCCCCATATATCTACGCAAAGCCCTCGAACAGAAGTTTCTAAAACCACCATATTTTGTGTTGACACAAGCTTGGTTTCGCAGCAATCGAACTTTGAAAATAGGTCTACGGGGGGTGCCATCTCTCCGCCTCTTTCGGGTGTTCTCGATGGGGCCTGCTCAGTCGCAAGCGAGGCACCTTCCCGTCCAGACTAGGCTTCTGTTCCGCTAGTGAATCGGAGACAGGAAATGCTCAGACGCCGCTGGAGTATGGAAAATACACATTTCACACGTTGAGGCACCGCCGATCTGGCATGACATGCCCACCGTCGCATGACCCCAACACCACTTACGGCTGTGCGGACTGAACACCTGTTTCCAATCTCACGCGATAATCGCTGTGGTATATCAACCCATCTCCTACGGTGGGTGAACGACAACTACGACACACAGCTCCATATCGTATCCTGTAACCCGTAGCGACTACCTCATAGCTGTCACGCGAGCTACTTCTTTACCTCTCGACGCCCCTTCCCCCCTCGGCACACATGCTGTCAAACCCATCCGGCGCTGCGAACAACCGAACACGTCGAATCCGGGTGCAGTTCCGGCCTCGAATCTCGATCGAGAAGCGATGGCCGTAGACCAAGCTTGTCCGGAGGTCCGCCCCCTTGGGCACCGGCCAAGGAAGAGGGCGGGGTGGGTGACAGTGGTAGCACTACTACCTCCACTCATGGCGCAGGGCGACCGCCGAGCCTTAGCGGCGGCATGCCGCGATGGGCACCGGCGCCGACAGCAGTAGTAGCTGAGGCAGAAACCACCGAGCAGAAGGAAGGGTCAGGGGTGGCTGCGAAAGAGAAGGGGGAGCCAGTAACATCAGGGGTAAGGGTTAGTGACTGGCTTGCCGCCGCCGCAACCACTGGTACGGCCTCTGGAGAGGTGAGACAAGAGGGTGTGCGGGGAAGGTGTGTGGGGTGAGTTTTTTTTTGTCAAATCTTTCGTTGCCTTGCTCGAATTCGCTGCCAAAGGGCGAGGCCTTTGGGATGCGAGAGCTTGTTGGTGTTTCCCCCCTCTGTCCGTACATACCACACATCAGGACGTTCCTTTTGCCGCGGATGAACTTGTGTGTCTCGATAAGCAACACTGACAAAGTAAGCGCGGTTGCGTACCTTTCATCGGTTGCCGGCAAGCGAACGTCCATTGAACGTACCTCCTCCTCGCCCCTTCCAAATCACACGTCTCGAAGCGCCCCATGCTGACAGCCATTTTCGCGTGTGCTTCCGCGGCAGGAATCCACCAACGCCCTTGGTGAAGAAAGAGACCAGCAGGATGGAGAAACTAGCGGTGGCAGCGATGGACTAAGCTGGCTAACACAAGCCGCCGGCAGCCACAAGCCGTCCGCGGCAGCGTCGGGCATCCCGTCTACTGTCGTGGTGGATTCGAGAGAAGGCGATGCAGGGGCGGACTGGCTGGCCGTAGCGAAATCGAGCGGGCAAGCTAAGCGCTCTACCGTCGTGAAGAGACCCTCCGTGGGAGCTGCAGCTCCCGGTGGATGGATGTCTTCGGGCAAGCTAGGTTTACCGACGGGAGACGGCAGTGATGAAGACCAGGCCGGCAAGACCAGTGGCAGCGGCGGTGTGGCCAAGCCCAAGAAAAACAAGAAGGCTAGAGGTTCTGTGTCGGCCACAAGCGGACCCGGAGGGTGGCTGAGCGCCGGCGCACTCGGTGTTCCGGCAAAGGACGAGAGCGACAAGGAAGACGGTGTCGGCAGCGACGACGGTCAAGCTGCGATGGTCACGATTGAAACCCAGACCGAAGAAAACATCGGAGCGGTTACAAAGGCAGGAACTGACGCCGAGAAGGGGAACGCCTCTAAGCTTCCGCCTTGGGCCAAGCCGTGGGTTGCACCCCCGACGCCCGAGGTCAAGCCAGATACCGCCGCTGAGCCTCCACCGGAGAAACAGGTGGGCCAGTTGTGGTGTCGTCGAGATGATCGTGCTGAAAGATGGACAATGCACCGTATCTCACGGAGAACACGAACCCGTGGTGTTGCTACAAGAGGTTTTCTCGTCGCTGGCACTTGAAGCACAGTATAATTACATAAATTTATGCTCGTGGTACATAACATTATGCGTGCTTGCACAAGGAAATTACCGTATGTAGTATGTGAGTTGGTGGCCGTTGCCGATGTCTATCGTCCCGCATAGACCAAACCCCCGTGTCCTTTGGGCGTTTCAGACTAGTCACTGAGCTTCCTCTGCTCCCGCCCCCGTATGGGTTTGGCTTCTGGTGCATCATCAGGAGCCTTGGACAGCGGGAATGGGAGGGCTGCCCTCATGGCTTGCTGATGCGGCCGGTGCTCCTTCTCAGGAGGTGAGACAAACAAAGTGGTTGTCGTACGGACATGTGCAGCAAACGGTCGTCTCGCACCTACAGGGCGAGTTCACTGTTTCGGAAAACCAATTGGTTTTTGTGCTGATCACCCAACGATTTCGGGTATATACTTGGCAGCTTGGGGTGCTAACGTTGATCCAAAGCTCCGATGAACTACCGACACTCTCATACGTTCACGTGGGACATCTACGGCGCTGTCTTCAAAACATGTTGCCTCAACTGGATGTACTTTCCGGCCATTTTTTCCCGGGTTTTGTGTGATTCCTTGTCTGCAGGAGTCCACCGGCGCCGTCGGGATGAAAGAAAGGGGTCCAGTGACCGACGAGCACGGCGACGGGCCGACCAGCGGCGGCAATGATGGCCTAGGCTGGCTCACACAAGCCGCCGACAGCCACAAGCCGTCCGCTGCAGCAGTGGGCATCCAGTCTACTGCCATGGTGGGTTCGAGCGACGGCGACGCAGGCACGGACTGGTTGGCCGTAGCGACATCGAGCGGGCAGGCCAAGCATAACAAACGCTCTTCCGCCGTGAAGAGACCCTTCGTGGGAGCTGCAGCTCCCGGTGGATGGATGTCGTCGGGCAAGCTAGGTTTACCGACGGGAGACGGCAGTGACGACAACCAGGCCGGCAAGACCAGCGGCAGCGGCGGTGTGGCCAAGCCCAAGAAAAACAAGAAGGCCAGAGGTTCCGTGTCGGGGACAGGCGGGCCTGGAGGGTGGCTGAGCGCTGGCGCACTCGGTGTTCCGGCAAAGGACGAGAGTGACGAGGAAGAGGGTAGCGGCGGCGAAAAAGACCGACGAGGCGCCGCCGTTAACATCGAAACTCAGACCGACAATGACATAGAAGCAGCCACCAGGGGAGCCGCAGAGAAGGGGGACACCCGGAAGCTCCCACCCTGGGCCAAGCCTTATGTTCCTCCAGATCCGACTCAAGAGGTCGTGCCGGATACTGCCGCCGAGTCGACAATCGAGAAGCAGGTAATTCACCTGACGTTTTATAATAATATTTGAGGTATTAGCGTTCGACAAGAGAATGGTCCAGAACTATGCAGCTGCACGGGCCCAGAGGTGTGTTGTCTGGGCGTGATCAAAACAAAACCTGGCAACGACCACGATGTGTCGCACTCGACAAAATACGCCTACAGAATATAAACCTCTGTGAGTGCGCCACGGGTACACACACGCTGCGTGTCAGAACACAAAGCAGCATGCAGAGCACCATATCTCTGACGCCCAGGTCTACTTGCCGGCTCTTTGTTTTCTCCCGCTTCCCGTGCCCAACATCGCTACTGATTAAATCCAATAGGAGCTCGAGCCGGCGGGGTCGGGAGGGGTACCCTCTTGGCTTGCTGCCGTGGTTGGTGCACCTGCCGACGAGGCGAGTTACGGATCGGCTGCCGCGCCAACTTCCGTACCGTTTAGTCAGTCGTCTTGCATCCAAGGTCGATATCAGTGGTTCCATTCCGTAGAATTATGTGAAAAATGATTACCTGTGCAGAGTGCCCGCCAAGTTGTGTGTTGAAATGGAATTCATTTATCAACCTTTCACTAAAGCGTTGGGCAAACCGTGGCATCAGACGACTCCACTCACGTCCTTGAATGTTTTCTTCCCCAACGAGTTGCGGATTACGTGTGATGCTCCCCGCGCAGAAAAACTCCGACGCATTAGGTCAGGAAAGAGCGCTAGAGGCCGATGAGGGTGGGGTTGGGCAGGCGAGTGGCGGTCGCGACGGACTTGGCTGGCTCACAGAAGCTGCCAACAAGAACACAGCTGCCGCAACGCCGGCCTCCTCATCAGCGCCGGACTGGTTGGCTGGTGCCAAGTCGAGAGGCACGACTAAGCACAACAAGCGCTCTACGGCCGCGAAGAGAGCTTCCATTGGGAGTGCGGCACCCGGTGGATGGATGTCTTCTGGAAAGCTTGGCCTTGCGACGGGAGACGACAGCAGCGACGAAGATCAGGCCGGCAAGACCGATCGCGGTAGCGCTAAGCCTCGGATGAAGAAGAAGAAGCAGCAGCGAAGAGGGTCCGTGCCGGCTGCAGGCGGGCCTGCAGGGTGGCTCAGCTCAGGGGCACTTGGTGTTCCGGCACAATACGAGAGCGACGAGAACGGTGGTGATAGCGACGGCGGTCGACCTTTGATGGCGACGACTGAAACACAGACCGAAGACAACATCGAAGCAGCCACCAAGACGGCGAATGGCCCTAAGCTCCCGCCCTGGGCCAAGCCGTGGACTCCTCCACCTCCAGAGCCGGAAGCCGAGCCAGGTACCGCCCCCGACCCGCCAACCGAACAGGTGAATATATGCACCCTTCGGTGTTGTAGAATCATGAACAAAGAGTTGAATCACCAACCAGTTATTTTTTCGTTTCTCCCATTCTCAACTCTGTTGTTGTTGGTGGGGTGCCTCCTGCGCTCAACGTGTAGCAACCGCACAGCATTGCATTGATAATTGGGTTGTAATTACGTTCCGTCGACCCTCGGACAACGTAAAATGAGTTGGCTGGTGTCAGATACCTTTAGCTGGTGCGGTGTTGCTGTAACCGGGCGATTCGCGAGTTTCGGACCTTGCTCACGCAGCCCAGTGCATTGGCCGTAAGAATAGTGCATTAAAGTCCTACGTGTCAGGCGTGAGGGGATGGCAGCACTGTTCTAAACCACCTTTTCTGCTCCCCGTTTCTCCTGCATACCCCCATGCCAACCCCTCTTGCAATACCGGTTTGTGTCGCGCCAAAGCAGGAGCCTGACACCCCAGGTACTCCAGACTGGATCCTCGCGTCTTTGGACCCGGACACCGAGGGGGCGGCGGCAGCGCCAGCACCAGGCGGCAGCCCCGGCGACTGGCATGTCCAGGAAAATCAGGCTGGTGGAGGCCCTGCGGGTACAGGTATGTATGCAGCGAGTGGATAGCAGTGGATTGGTAGCACCCTGATCGCCATTTGGTTCTCGAAGTTTGAGAGGAACGGCCAAGCGAAGCAGGACGAGGTGCAAATTAATGATGGCAACACAAAACGTGTAGTGCTTGCTTGAGAGCGCATGATCAACCAGAATATTTAGACTAGGGTGCAAAACTTCCAATATCAGGCCAGGTCAACGTGAGAGTACGTCGGAGTTACAGTCTCCGCAGCCCTCCCACACGAATACCTCAGCAACCTACGACATGCGCTCTCGCGTCTTTCCCCGCATGAACATCTGCACTTAGCGCCTTACGTGCGTTAAGATAAGTTTTCACCTCATCTCCTCTGCGCGCTCGATGTAGGGGGAGGAAGCACCGGTCCAGACTGGCTTCAACAAGCCACCGCAGCCTCCACGGGAAAGCCTGCGAACCGCTGGCGAGGTGCTGCGACACAGCGACCAGGTGGTGGGAGAAAGGCGGCCGCGCAGTCACCCCTTTCGTGGATGAGCAGCATGAAGCGCCGCTCGTCCATGGACCTCAACGATCAAGGCGTGGAGGAGGCTATCGCTCAAGCAAAGGCCAAAACTATCCCAGGGGGCTGGCTGCAAATAGGGGCGCTAGGAGCACCCGACGCCGTCGAAGAGGCGAACGCGCTTGAGGAAGCCCGGGCCGCTTCATCCCTAACCAGGTGAATGGGGCGGCCCGGGCACGGGGGGGAGGGGGGGGGGGGGTTACTCATAGTCGTGCATGCCGTAGTCGTTAGACCATTGACCTCGCATCCCGACAATGCCGGGACGGAGCACGCCGGGTTCTCACCGGACCAGGCTCTCACATCACCAAGCGCGAAGCGCCGTGAGATATTCGGCGAGTCGCATGAAGGGTGCGCTGCATCCTGCTAAGGGTGTTCGGCATCTTGTGCTTACTTCCTTGCATACGGATGACAGCTGCGCATGACTTAATTTATTTTCTGGTGCTCTCACTTCCAGAGACAGTTGTAAGCACTGTGTGACTGCCTCGAGAGTGCTTGACCAATTTAACACAACGTGGTGCGATCATCCCCCTTGCGCGGAGTGAGGGTTCTCGACCCCGCACAGCATGATCTACTCGACCACCATTATGGTTACCGCCAAAAAGAAAAATAAAGAAGGGGGGGGTGGGTGTGACGCGTTGGAGTTGTAAAAGGATCACCTCCGAAAGAAGAATTTCGATTTGGAGCTTTAAAATAATACCATGTAGTCTAGATTTAGCGATCCTGGTTCATCGCAAGGTTTTGTAGCGGGATAGGGAACACGAGTGCTGTGCTTTACCGCTTGTTGAAGCGAGAACGGGGGGGCAGGGTGCAGCACTACGAACAAGAGGAGCAGCGGCAACACTACCAACAACGACCACAACAACACAGGGGGAGCAAGCGACCGATTACAAAAAAATACGCCACGACCTTTTCCCACATCAACCTGAAACAGCACGCGACACGAAAGGATTCGCGTGACTTAAGAACGAAGGTTAAAAAACAGGTCGAAAGTGGGGTTAAGGCGGTCGTAGGTTGCTTCGGTATGAACACTCTGTCTGTGAGTGGGTGCTAGGGCTAGAAAGAAGGGTAGATCCTACATATCATTCACACACAAATGCATCAATATGCCTTAGTGTAAAGATATCTCGCAGCCATACATACGAAAATCTTCAACGAACGGTCGTTATCGGAACGTCTCTTCTACGAAAAGTGGAAATTTCTACCGACGGTGTATCGTGCACTCGTCCTTGCAGTTTCCTGTATCTCCGTTGAAAGGACGGTGGCGAATGCCGGGTGAAGAGAGCATCCCGATAAAGTGGGAATGCGAGGAAATGCTGTCTACGACGAAGTATCTATTGCAACTACAGCTGTGTGCCCCTTGCCCCTCTCGGGAGTGTAGACGGCGGGTCTTGTTGTCGAATCCCCTATGGCGAACCTCCTGGCTTCACTGGGTCCATGTGTACATACCCTGACTCCTGCTGTTTCTCACGCTATTCAAAGAGATAGACTAGCAGATAAAGCATTACATCCCGGTCATCGAAACATGAAACATACGAAAGCATGTATCTCCCTTCGACCAACTCAACGGTGGGAATAAGTATGGAGGCCTCTACTCTGGGTGAGCGGAAAGTCCGGGGTTGTAGTGGCTATGTCCTGCCACCGGAGGTTGGCTATTTCCTTTGGTACAATATGGCGAGGAATGCCAAGCGTGACCGAGCGAACTCAGTCAAGCTAGGGTGGTGCGGAGAGTGGGCGAGCCTTCGTTGACTTATTTTCCCATTCTCCTAAAGATCCATCAACTCTTCGCAGCCGTTGGGGATCACAAGAGCTGAGGACCCTCGGAGAACAGTAATCTAGTATCACATATTCCCTCAGATCCTACTCTTTATGTACGTGCATCTGTGCTCCCTGAATCTCCATATCCTGACCTCCACATAAGCGCCAACAATAATTAGTTTTTTTTCATTCTTAACTCATGTAAAGCGAATTCCAACGCTGTCAAGGGCTGCTGAGTGTTTCGAACTTCCTGCAACGAGTGGTCAACGAGACCTAGGCGTAGCAAAACAGTGCGGGAAATTCCTAACGGAAGAGTTGAGTAACTCGTGCAGATCCCACGATTTCGGGGGATTGTTGTCTCTCACAAAAAAATCCTTCACTAGGACTGGGCCCTGAGTGCATGCCCGATTCGTTCGAACCCATTTGTTCTTGAGCCTTGTAGAGATCTGTCGGCCCCGGAATCCCCCGGATCGATTGTCTTTGGGCATGGGCTGATTGACGCCCGATACCCTTTTCTCCATGTGTTAAATCTGCGACAACCAAATCGGGTTCGATTGCCGCCACCTCCTCGGCAAGATCGATCCATTGACAACCCAGAGGGAAAATAAAGTAAGAATCATCTTTCGAACCGTGATCAAAGAAAAAGATTTACTTGCATGACACACCAAGCACAGCTTACTTAACATCGCCCACCTCCGGCAGATGCACCCTATCCGTATCGTAGTATCTACCGCCGACTATTTGCTTTGGAGTGTTATATTTGTTTTCCTCACAAAGTTCATCGTCTAAATCTAGCCCGTGGACGTGGATCGACAAACAGGGCGAAGGGGCCACGATAAACCTCCTGGTTTCTGCAGAAGATCCCGATAGCAGTCCATGGTTCGAACTGCTCGTGTCTTCCGTGTACGCACGTGTTGTCAGATGTCAAATGGATAGCCCCAAAACGTTGTTCTCGTGGGATGGCACTCGAAAGAGGAAATCGCGATGCGAACGTGGGTGGGGCGATATGTGGCACGGTCACTACGTAGGAGCAATATTAACGAGACACAACCAATGGGCCGTGCGTTCGCACCCCGCTGTACTTGAGCCCCAGCCTACGCACACCTAATTGACTCGAAAAACAATAAGTACCATTCCCTGTGTGTTTTGCTTCACAACGTAGCCCCCCCCCTCCGCCGTGACCGCCGAATACCTCACGGCGCTTCGCGCTTGGCGATGTGACAGCCTGGTCCGGTGTGGTCCGTCCCGGCTTTGCAGGGATGCTAGGTCGACGGTCTTACGACTACGGCATACGCGGCTATGATTACCCCCCACCCCGCCCCCCGCTCACGTTTTTTAACCTCTCTCCCGCTGACACACTGCTACACGCAACCCTGAATCACACCCAACAGAACTTCGACGAACGGGAAGGGTACGCCGGGGGCCGCCGCAACCGACGTGCGGCGTCCGAGCCTCGAGCAGGGTTTGCCTCCGTGGGCTCCGAAGTCGACGACAACAGCACTAGCGTCTTCTTCTTCGTCCCGCGGCCGTCGAACAAGCTTCTCCGGCGGGCCCCCCGCCTGGGCTCCGCAGCACCAGCAGGGAGGGGACTCGCCGTTGGCTGAGCAGCTCAAAGCGAGGGCCGACGAGAGCCCTGAAGGAAGGAGGCCCGGGCTTGCGGGAGGGATGCCCTCCTGGGCCCCTGCAGACAAAAAAGTCGCCGCTGGGTCCGATGGCTCGAGCCGACGAAGACGGCGGTCGAGTCTCGGCGGGGGCATGCCGGCATGGGCGCCGGCAGGTCCAGGAGGGTCGCCGACGCGATCTAGGAGGCAGGAAGAGGACGAGTTGCCCGTTCCTGAGCCTGAGCAGGCTACGCCGGCATTGCCGGATTGGCTGACGGCCGCCGCGGGAGGGGGGTCTGCACAGAAAGTGAGAGGACGACAAGATCGGTGTCGGACGAGGGCTATATTATTTTGGTATCTTCAACGTCAGTGGTCCACTTACGCCAAGGGAAAAACAACACGATTGTATGGACTTGATCCGCGCGCCCAACGACCCTCTCCAGTGTCCTCTATAGGCACTGCATGTTCCGCTCTACACTCTACCTCCGGCCAAATTGCTGTCATCTTAGATTCATACGTATGGGGTTTCGTGTGTTTTTCTAGAAACGCCTGCGACATGTTGGTCCAACTTCCCATAAACACCCGGGCTCTCTCGCCCTACCCTTGTTTTCCCACTTTGAAAGGATACGCGGGGCGATGGAGAGGACACAATCGACACTGGTGATGACGGCGGCGGTCTAGGTTGGCTCGCCCAAGCCGCATCGGGGGGCACAACCTCGAAGAGCCAAGATCGAACGAGTTCTCAGGAAGCTGATGGCACGGCATTGGACGACGAGGCTAGAACGGAGTGGACAGCCGCCTGCGAGTCTTCTGGAAACACAGACGCTGCTTGCAACAACGTTTCCTCCGGGCACAGCGGTGGCAGCGAAGGGCTAGACTGGCTTTCGGCGGCCGCGGTGGTACGGAGGCCACAGATGAAAAGCCGTACGGCAATAAGCACGAACCTTGTAGCATCGGAAAGTCGGGCTCAACAACGGAATTCGGCGTCCTCTGTACCATCATCATTGAGCAAGATAACTTCCAGCACTGCTCCGGGGAGCTGGTTGGCTTTGTCCATCGCCTCCGGAAATCTCGGTGGCCTCAGCGATGACGGCGAAAGCCATCTCGCCGGCGACCGTACCAACAACGGCGGAGATACCGGCAAGGAGGATACAGCGACACAAACGGATGATGTCGTGATAGTCGAGGCCAGCACAACAGTTTCAGAACAGACTACGTCGAAGAATTCCACCAAGTCGAAGCTTCCGCCGTGGGCCAAGCCCTGGTCTAAACCTTCCGCTCCTGCCGTCGCTGGCCCTGATTCAACGTCACCATCATCTATAGACAATCGTCAAGCACCGAACGTGGGTGAGGATAAGGCCACCGACGCCGGTGGCTCGTCTTCGGGAGGGGGCGGCGGATTGGACTGGATCAGCGCTGCTGTTGACAACGGTACATCAAATTTGTCGCACGGTGAGAAGGACAAGAGCGCACCAATTAACCGTCCAAATATAGTACAGGTTGTCGAGGTTCGTCGGGTAACGGTGACGACGTCTGTCGTCCTGAATCTCTCTAACCTTGTAGTGAGTCTGCCGTAGTGTGTATTTTGCAGCAACATTGTGGTGAAACTCCAAGACGTCAGTAGAGTGGAAGCAAACTACGCCCGTGAAAAGTATAATAGCCTACATTGCAGGGGTCCGGACGGCTTGATTCTTTATGCTGGCTGGTCGTCGAGTGAATTGCACGAGTGTTCGAAATCCTAACGCCAGCCTTTCCGGCTACGTGTTGGTCTTTGAGCTCCCTCTTGTATCGCTTGCACCCATCGATTCGTTGTGTGCTCTGCTGGCAGGTCTAAGCGCATTTACCGCCAACACTGGCGGTGTTCCTGCCCGCGCTACAAGTGGCTCTAACGACCAAGAAAAGGGTGAAGAGGGAGGAAGCCTAAGCTGGCTGGCAAAAGCTGCCGCCGGTTCATCAGACCGGTCCGTCGACACTGCCGAAAAATCCACAACCAGCATCGTCGCCACTCAGGGAACCGCGACAACCGACGATGATTGGCTAGCGACTGCAGTTTCTGGGGCGGCCCGCGCCTACCCCTCACCATCCAGATGTCCCTCCACCGAAACTACGGCTGCGGGAAGTAGGGGCAGTGGGGGAGGGTGGGTGACAGCGGCGGCAGGAACACAAGGCCTGCCGCACCTAGACGGTTACAACGGTGACGGCAGCGTAAGCGATGGCGTTGACAGCGCGCTGCTCAAGAAGAAAGGCCGGGAACAAGGCAACACTTCTGCGGCGCAAAGCGGGGGGGCTGGCAGATGGATGGCAAAGGCGGTTTTGTCGGGATATCTTGCCGACACAGCTCTGAGCGAAGACAACGCCGCCGATGATGTTGCATCCCGAGCAGAACCAGTCAGGGAGGGAAAAACATTCGCAACGCAGACAGATGAGGATGTAGGGCAAGCGGCTGCGGAGCCGGCGAAGCCTAAGCTCCCGCCCTGGGCGAAGCCGTGGAGTGCGCCCGCTCCGGCAACGGTTTCCGATCCGGTCTCGACTCCGGTTGTCGATTCTGTGGTGGGGGAGGGTACCGGTTTGAACAGACGGGCTTCCTACGAGTCCTCCACCTCCGACACCAAAGGTAAAGCAGCTTTGTTAAGGTTCGTAATGATTCCGTGCCTTTGTTGCTTCGACGATGAGGGAACAGACGACGCGGCTGCAAACATATTCACTTCTCTCGCTAATGTTCACTCTCGATACACGCGCAGAGAGCCGGACGACCGCTGAAGGTGGTGACGGTGAAATTTATTGGGTCACGCAAGTCACTTCCGAAGGGCCGAAGATTATAGCCCAAACCGACCACGACTCTACTGCAGTCAACGGCTCAAACGATCTCCTCGCAGCCGCGCTTTCTGGCAATTCGAAACTGGTGACTGAAGCAGCAACAGCAACAACCGCGAGCGGACGAGATCGGGGGGTATCGAAACACGAAGCGCGTAGAAACAACGGCAGTTGCACCTGCGGTAGCGCCACACAACACTCTGTCAAGACGACGCCGGCCAACACCTCGGGCCACTCAGGGCGGCCGGGGGCGTGGTTGATCGCTGCCGTGGCGCCCAGTGGCCCCGCTTCTTTGATCGAGAACGACACCGCCGAGGATACATACGGCAACAACAGCGATATTCAAGGTGGCGGGGCAAGGCGTGTTGGTGTAGAAACCGCAACGATAGGGGTGCAGTGGGAGGAAGAGGCAGGGAAAACCGTAATTCCGGCGTCGTCCACGAAAAGCCGGTTACCGCCGTGGGCGAATCCTTACGTCCGCCCTTCTACGGAGGTTATTGGGCGTGATGATGGTTCCGAGGGTAACGATAGTGCGAGGGTGGTGATGGAGTCGAACGGTATTCAGTGCGGGGAGTCGATGCTGGGGGGTCGGTTGAGCGAAGAGCCCATTTGAAAACGGCAAAAAAGTTGACGGTGATACTCTGAGGGAGTTCTTCTGTTTCTGGGAGGGGGCAACTACTCCTGATCTCGCATGAATACTGTCTTTGGACAAGTCCATCTACTACCCGGGGGGAGGGGGAGGGGGGGGAAGGGTACAGCCATATCGCTGCCATCTAGACTAGACTAGATTAAAAGTTTCCGCTGTGTTGTGCTACTGTTGTGAACACGCGTGTGTCTTTTTGGACTGAAGTGGTTCCTTGTCTTGGAAGCGCCGTGAACGTGAAGTGGTTTATTTACGCGAAAGTCTTTAGAGGAGTTAACGACAGACATTTATTACATATTCGACAGAAGAATCATACGGTTAAAACGTACCAAGTACATGTTGAATGTTTGTGCGCAGGACTAGCTGTCGAACGGGGCATGCATGTTCCGTGCTCATGGATCGAAATTTACAAAACAATTCATTCGCTCGCCCTTTATCGTACGGACATCGAGGAGACTTCGGGGAAAATCTCGTCACTCACTTGCCGTTTTCAGCGGGCGGGGGGGGCGGCAGGGCAAACAGATCGACGCGGCAAACAGAAAACAGATTTGAGAGTGCTTGGTTTAGCACCAAAACTAACTCGTTTTACTTTGCAGAGGGCATTCTGGTCCCCGTTCGATGCCGGGGATGATGCAAATAAATTGGTTGTTAGGCCGCAGCGTGCCACTGTTGTGTTTGGGCAGATACCGACATACGGTGTTCAAACGTTCCCCGACCAACTTAAGTTATTTTCCTCCTGTGGCAGAAGACACCTGCAATGTACCTGCGACAATGTACCTGCGACAGGCGGTTTTCAACCACCGAGCACTCTTGTGCCCCTTCCCCTCTGCGAGCACGTAGTCAACCTCTCTCGGCCGATAGAAGACGCTCGTGTTGCTTCGTACTTTGAGTTTGTCGACAATCCTCTACTTGCGCGTTGCTTGAAACTACTGCAGCATCAACCGCTCTAACCGACCACTTGACAAATGCAGCAGTCTCTTTTGTGACGAATGGCGATCTATCTCTCGGCGGACGTGGGTATGCTTTGTGGACATACTGCAAAACACATCGATCCGGCCAGGAGGTTTGGCTCCTTCGCGTAAGCCGCAAGGGCCAAAACACGGAGAAGTGGCACGGAGCACAGAGCAAGTACTGCCAGGCATGGACGTTCGTATGGTTTGGGGTTTCGATGTCGGTCTTCGTCGCATACGTGCGTGCGTGATTTGATGTGATGACTGACTGCTAGGGGCGTTCAACCCGCAACGGGTACGTCTTTCATGTCAGAACAACCTCGTTCAGTTGACAGTTCCGCCCCCGCGCCCCATACATATCTAACAGGCAAGCGTTAGAGTAAGTCCACACCATGAACTCATCACGAGCTTCGCAACTTTCCTCCTGAAGTTGAAACTAAAGATAGCCACGCTATACACCAAGAGACGTCGCCAAATCCGAACGGTCGAACGGAAATCCGGAAAAATCTGCACCTACTGCGGCGCATGGTGCAAGAAAGCCGCAGGTGGAGTTTCCGACCCGCGGCAACCAACACACCGCACAAGACACCAGTTTTCGAACCAACAGCCTCACGGGCACACGTTTTCCTACGTAAAGATAAATCCTTTCGAAGGCAGTGGTGTGCGAAGCTAACAGAGTGGATGCCACTCTGCGAATTGCCGTATCGTTGCCTACCCCAAGGATGCCGAACCCCACACAAGATGACGGCACGTGTCATGAATTTCACTGCCCGGCGTGCAGTATACACCCGAGGACAAAAGGAATGAAGGCACTGAGCACAAAATTTGCCAGCTGTCGAAACCGCTAAAAACAACGCATTAAAATAACCCTGCTGTTCAAAGGGAAAAGGTTCGTACTTACATCACCGATTGAGAACTTCGCAGTGTTTTGCCTGTCATGGCATCGTACCGCTTCCTACGAAATTGTCGTTCACTCACTACATACCACCGGCAATAACAAAACACCCAAGTCGCCGCTAAAACACCGGACAACAACCCTACAAAGGTAAAACTCGGGATATTGTCAACCCATCACCTCAAAAAGCGCTTCGTCGCCTCCAGGACTTCAACACCTATCGGACAGAATGTTTCAGCAGTGGTTTCATCTGCCCACATCGTTTTTCTTGTAGTCCGGTAAGTAGGGCCCCACCATCGAGAACGCCGTCGCGAGGAAGTTGTAGCTCAGCATCTTCGTGCCCACGCGTACCCCCACCGCCATTCCCCCGATATCCCGCCACACGACCCTCCCGATGCTCTTGAGGATCTCCCTCGGCAAGACGTTCGGGGGCACCGCTGACTCCTTGGCCTTGTCCATGAGCTCTATAGTGTGGTCGAGGTTGCTGTAGAACTGGCTGGCCACGGGGGAAGGGTGGACGGACAGCACGTCGATGCCCTTGCAGCGGACCTCCACCGAGAGAGACGCGGCCAGGTTGGACAAGAACGCCTTCGTTGCACCGTACCTGGGGCGATATCAGGTATCACAGTGCGGATGTGGCGGGGAGACGGGTGAGGGGAACGTGGGCAGACAGTCATGCGGCCGCTACATCGATTTGAGCGCTGTTGTGACGCTTTGCGAACGTCGCCCGTGCAACAAACAGTGTCTGGGAGAGCCAGGCAGCGCCAGGTGAAAAGCAAGCGGACAAAACGCCGCAAGGGTTGACTGCCGCGGTCTACCTCTATCCTTCTAGAAAAGCACCGCCGAGACGATAAATGGCACGCGCTCTGCGAGCGTACCTAGGTGTAGAATATCGGGTGGCAAGATCACTCTCCCATCTTGGCCCGAGGGCGAATTCGAACAAGAAACGCACGAGCGGGCAACAAAAGTGTACTGACACCAAGCAACTACAAACGTATGTTGTGTGCACCCAACCGAACGTACTCAGCATATGCAGTGGTGGTTGGACTGGCCACGCCGCGGGTGAACAGCAGCGGGTGGCCCACGGCAACAAGAGTCCGTGTCCCGCAATGGGACTCACAACAAGACCACCGACAATGCTAAAGGGAAAGGCGAGAACAACGCTGCGCCCTTACCCTTGCATCGCTGACAAGTGCGCAGCACGCCACAACAGCTAAAGACACAAAAAAAAGGGTATATTGTAGGTATCCCGCACACGCACACGTTACGTTGTCCGTTTCAATCAGACGGTCTCACATGGCCGAGAAGGGAGTGGGGCAGTACGCGGCAACAGAAGACGTGAACACCACGCAGCCCTTCTGTTTTTCGCGGATCATCCGGCCCACAAAGTGATGCGAGATCTGCAGTGGACAGCGAGAGGTAGGCACACGAGAACATCGAACGACAAGTCCAAGGTCGTTGGAACTCCGAGCGTTTAGTCGGCATGATAACTGCAAACGATCCATCGGGTTCATCAAAAAAAGGTACGCTACACCAGGCACACCATGCTTAGACCGTGCGGGCTCGCGAAACAACGAAAACCGTCCACATCGGTCCAACGGCTCTCGCTGCCAACCAACAAAAACAGGTTTGGCTGACCGGCAAACAACAACAAAGACTTGTCACACTGCTCAAATGCCAAGCTTGTGCAACCAGTGAAACCATCATTCCGTCTCACGAAGGATTAACCATGGGTTGTTCCGGACGTGAAGGCCAGGACCAACCTTACTCCAAACAGCAAATGCAATCACCTTGGCCGCTGCGGTGGCGTTACACTCGAGGTTGGCCATCTGCTTGCCCTCTGCGGACGACTCGTAGAAGCCGGTCACGATGAAGCCCGCGTTGTTGAACACACACTGGACGTTGATGTCTGAGGTGACCGCCCTGCGCAACACCAAGCGAAACATTAACATTCAGATGATGGAGTGCATTGTGTCAACTAGCAAAAACTTTGGACAGAACGAACCTTGCTGGTCGGTCGGACGAGAGAGGGGGAGCAACAGACGAAACACAAGTGGATTTTCTTGTGCAAGACAACCCGCCGTCGAAATGACAGCGTAACATTCGCTTCTTTCCCTCTAAAATTACTTCACGTGGTAAGCCACAGACTACATGCAGAGGCGGGTGAAGCGGGGCAAGAGCAGCTCCATGTATGCATATACCGACCGTAGGTAACATGACGTAAGATATCACACCCCCTGAACTGATTTTCGAAGCTCGATATCTCGGCAAGACAAGCAATGGCGGTGCCGAAAATGGCGGCGTTGGACCTGCCTCGTCCAGAGCTTCCCGAAAGCGTATACTTCAGTTTCGGCATCCTCTTCGTTGTGAAGTGATCCAGCTTTGGAAATCGGTCCACGGGGTGTGATATCTTGTGCAACCTACGGTATCTTGTTATCTATCCGGAATGTACCCAACATTTTGTGCAAAGAAAGGCGAGCAAAATAAAAAAACCCCAGCAAATTCACGCCGCCACAAATATGGAACATGAGCGATACTTCGGGGAAAACGCCACATTCGACCTCCTCTCACTAAGCGATATCGATACTTCAGTTTTCACTCGGGCATTTCTTGTGTTTTCTGCTTGATCCTTGTGCTTGCTTACTTGATCTTGTCCATGTAGTCCACCCCCGGAGAAAACGTAGCGCCGACCTTCCGGAACTCCTGCCCCGGAAATTTGGACGAAACCAACGCGAACGTATCCGCTAGGAACTGGTCGTCCATGGACACAATCACTACGTTCAGCCCCTAGGAAACAAAACCACCAAGGTGCAAGCAAACAGACAGTGTGAAGCGAAATGCCAAGGTCAAAGAACTCGCGTGCGGCAAGCTCTCCACGAGATGGCTCCAACGCCGCCACGTTCGCAACAATCGCCGGTCGGAAAAGGGGGCGTGGTATCTTATGCAACTTATCGTCTGGGGCAAAGACGTTCGCGAAAGAGGTCCATTCCCTGCGTAGGGGGAGAAATCACAGATACAGCTCTCTAGCAAAAGGGCTGCTCAAGACGCTCACAGCGTTGAGCCCCTGGAATATCAGACGACGACGGTCCAGTCACGCGGAGTTAGGACTGGGGAACCGAAACACCGGTACCAGGCACAGAAGCCCGTTGGCCAAAAGGCAAAGCACCACGGGCTTTCATACAAACCGCTGGAACTCGTGGACCCTCAATCGCTCCATGCAGCACACGCACAACGAAGGCAAGAGCCAAACATCTTCTACGCAAACACACGCTCCCACACATGACATGCCAAAGCTCGCCAAGACGACGCACATGGGCCCAGAGTGTTCATAAGTGGTGTGGCAACTGGAGGTTCCGTTTCGGGGCCGAGTTGGCCGGAAGAGGTTGGCGAGCCACATGGTCGACTGCAACGCGGTCAAAATAACTCGACACGGAATCCCATGCGTTGCTCGCAGATAAATTTAGTGGCGATATTTCGTGGGAAGAGTTGGGGGCGGGTCGACATCGTCATGCTTCCGCCAAAGCATGCATCGCAACGCATTGGGGGGGGTGGAAGGCGGTACCTGTAGCGCCAGCTCTTCGACGAGAGCCTTCCCGATCCCGCTCCCGCCACCCTGAGCGGCAGCACGTCCGCACGATATGGAAAACAGCCCATGTAAACGGCAGCACCAAAGAGTTCGCGAAAGGGCGAAAGATGTCGCGGTCCACCACTCGCTGGAAAAAGTACGACCATCACCACCCCCCCAACCGGCTTGCCTCCAGCTCTCGCGTATCGACTAACCATTCTTGGACACACCATTCGCATGCATGATCCGCCGCGCCATCTTGACAAAAAAAGAAAAATAGTGAGAGCTCTCGCCGATCAAGCAAAACAACAACACATATGCTGCTACAACCACGATAAAGTTGGGTGTCCCTTTCTTTCCGCACCATGACTTTGGAAGAGAAGGTCACAAGGACACACAAGAAACCTGCAACCCAGAAAGACGGGAACACGGCATCCCTCAACCGCTGGGGACTGGGGACTCACAGTCACGAGGGCCCACGTCGCTCCATACTTCTTCTTCAGGTTCTGGGGGGGTAGCACCGCCACCAGCAACAGGGGTACTGGTTGTCGGTTGGCCGGGGGGGGGGGTAATTGTGGGATGAGGATGCCATCGGCGAGAGAACGACGACGCTCGATGGGTGAAGCGGAGTTGTAAGCCAGCACATCGTGATGGCGTGATGGGGGGCGTGATACATCCCGTCCGGCGGAAAAGCGTGTACACAGAGACTTGAGGGTGGACAGCATAACATGCGACATGATTCCGGCGTTGAAAGAACGATCACGCTCATGTGCGAACTGTGGGTACTGTGTCACTTTCCGCCTTAGGAACAACATCCCCAAGTCGCAAGAGAGTGCGTGACGTGTCCCCACATGTATGCGGGCGCCTCTACGTAGGCGCTGCTTCGGCAATGCCCCACTTGTATTCTTCTCGGGCGTTGTGTTGCTATGTATGTGCGAGAGGTTGTCCACATGCCCTCGGCGCGGTACCGCGTATCCTGCCTACTGCTGTAGTCCAGCGCACACGCCACTGTTGCGGGACAAGGCCACCGGTAGACTTAATAACGTCGGGTGTCTAGCAGCGGTTGCATCTTTCCTACGTTGTCGCACGAAGTTGAGGGAACAATGTTTTGCAGCTCTGTAACGGAAAACAAAATGTTTCACCTACACGAAGAACAACATAACATTGTAGATTTCAAAATGGCGGGAAACAGCTACACTCAAATCTTTAGTACAACTCCAACTATTGAAATTCAAAAAATTCAAAAAAAAATTGTGGTGCGTGTACAAGTGGATGTACAACAGTCTACAGCTGTACATACTGTCACCTAAAACATGGTCGAAGTACTTTCTAAAAACAGCAAGTTGTCAAACGACACTGCGCCATGTTCCCTGTGAAGGCCACATTCCGGATAAAATTAAGAATGCATCCGCCTATACAGATGCTTTTGTTCTTAGCTCCAACTGGCATTACTGATAACTCAGTGTTAGGCTTACACAAACTCAAAATAAGTCAAGTCTCCAGTTGGTTTCAATCCACTTACTGAAAATACTTCGCCATATCCCTTTCGACTGAGGTTATATCTCGAACGGGTAGTCTTTCTGTGAGGTTAGGTTTACTCTCTAAAAACTTCACGGAAATGGTTGACTAGCCCGCAGGATGTACGGCATGTGCAGCACAGCAGTAGAGAGCATGCAGTCCACATGTCGACTGCCTACCGCCACGGGTACATTTCTTATTCATACACTTTTCAATATTAGGCACGCTTTTTAAACGTTGGACTGGGGGAACAATTGTTGCACACTCATTCTGCTTCACAATTCTTTCAAGCTCAGCAGTGTTAGCAGAGCTGTGGTGTCCGTTGCGCACTTAGCTGCTTGCCAGCCACAACAGATAACGGCAGAATGATAAGAACAATTTCTGCTAAGCTTTCTCACCAAAGTAAGTGACGAGCCACACGATCGTTGGCACTGCCAGAAAACCTAGCGCCACAGTTGTCAGGCACACCATACTTGCACACACCCCACACAAGAGATGATAGAGCAGTGGAGCGGCAGCGTCCAGCGCCCAGCAGGACACCACCAGCGGGGGATACACGGTCATAATAGAGGGTGGGTACGTTGGGGGGTGCAGAGACTAAGAGTGCCGCCGTCCGCCGTGGACTACTGCTGTGTTGTCTCACAATAAATAGCACGCCGAACAGCACCAACAGCACCAACAGTACCATGTCCACCCAAATCCAGGAGCTCATCGCTGCGGAGACGAAGGCTTCCGCTATCGTTGCGGAGGCTCGGGCATGTGAGTAGCTGGGAAGTGCAGTTCCAGAGTCGTGAAAAGTATGCTTCGATTTTGCGGAAGGAGTCGCACCAGCGAAGAGCAAGCAGAGAGGGTTTTGGGGGGAGGGCACAGCGAGGGTTGGGTATGAGCGCTTCACTCCCTTATGCATTTTCTTTTAACGGTGGCTCGAACAAAAGTTTTGTGCACTTCAGCTAGGGAGTCGCTCTGCTGTGATGCAGAGGACCTACCTTCCTCAGCCATCTCTGCATTACAGAATCCGGCATCACCTTGAGCGTTAGGAGCGCTCTACGAGAGACGTCGCCAAGAATCGAACACGAAGTGCGCTCTCTGGGGCGGCGCCAATTGCCAACAGGGAGCATGGCATTGAACAAAGCGCGGGGTTCTATGTGTAACTGCTCCTGTTTCGTGCTTGTTTGTTCGCATTGCAAGCGTACCTGCCTGCCGCAACATTTGCGCCCCGATGTGCCTTGTTTGAGAACAACAGCAGCACGGCGACCAAAACACGTGCATCTGCCATTTCACGGGGTACTATTCGGTGCCTGCACCCCGCCCTCTGTCTTTCGGTGTTGACAACTGAACCACCAGGGCGGCCAGGCGGCTGCTCTCTTCTCTATATCGCTGCGTTCATGGATTGTAATACAGCCACTTAGTCAAACTGATGTGCTGTTTGTTTACTAGCAGTACACTTATTTGCCCGCGCGACTCCCCCCCCCCTCTCCGTGCCCCCCACCCGCTCACTAGAACCAATGTTGTGGTGTGGTGCTGTATACCGGTGTCCATTCTTTTAAATCCGTTATGGGCGGGACCCAGAGTACTCCTTCTTCTCTGGCCTGCCCAGACATACTGACATGCCCGATTTTCTCCTCAACAGCACAAATCATCAACTAGTCGCCCATTGCTATGCCAAGTGCGCCTTGCGTGATAAAGCAGCAATGTGGGTGCTGTTCTCGCGCCCCAAAACCCATACCCCGTACCATCTCAGAAGCCCCCCCCCCCCCCCCCCCCCCCCC